GAAGAGATTTTTACAAGCACAAGAACATGTTTAAAAAATGGGGAGGTAGATCTAGATCTATGTCACGGTAGGTTTGGCTAGGCCTAACTAAGTAAAGAAGACTCAAGATCTAACCTTGAATGAAAATGTATATCTGTATATGATTTCAACCCTCTAAATTTAGGTTACAAATAAAATATACCCAAAAAAACAACCCCAAATTCTCGTGCTGTCGTAGCTTCCATAACATTAATGTTTACAAATAAAATCAAGAACATGTTGAACTTGAAGTACTGCCACTCCGTCGGGCAGTGTTTCGACTCGTCTTTTATTGTGCTGTTCTTAACGGTGACCGATTTCGAGGATTTTTTGCTGAAAACATACTTTGTTCCGCAGTACTTCCAAAATTCTTACTCAAACTCACGATACGGTTTAAAAATTCGTCCCACTTCGAAGGGGTGGGGATTTGCATCCGCTGTTCTTATTGAGAGAGAGAGAGAGAGAGAGAGAGAGAGAGAGAGAGAGAGAGAGAGAGAGAAGCATGGCCAGCAGAGGGCAGAGAGTCTATACCCTTTGGCATGACCCAGCTGTTCACTGATTGGTCCAAAGTCAAAGAGAAAAACAGGTCGTGAAAATGCTCGTAGATTTTTTTTCCACGACATGTGAAAATGCCGGCTTCCTTCTTTGAATATCTGGATGACGACTCTAAATAATCTTACGCTTTTAAGAGAACAGGTAGAACATTAAAATTTGGTTTCTGGCCTCATTGTCTTAGAAACTCAAAACGACCAAAATGTCTGATAGAACTTTGTAATTCTAAGACAACTATCTGTCAAATGTATCAAATCACATCAAGTGGAGATCTGACGAAATTTTCTGCCTCTTTCTTTATGTTTTCTTTTTATTAATTAAAAGTTTTACAGCACTTACAGGACAATTGGTACATATGCGTGCGAAGATTAGAAGTGCTACAAGAGAGTAACTAACACAAAAAGGAAGAGATATTTTTAAAAGTAGATGCTTAATGGGAAAGAACAAGCAAACCACACCAGAGTACCTGCGAACCACCCATGAAACTTTCTTCAATAGGCCCTGGGTATTAGATCTTGGTGTAGGCTATACTGCGATAAGTCGTGAACTAGTTCAACATACTCCCCTCCCCCCGCACGTTATTGTACTTCCGTAGTTGTTTGGGGAAAACCAGCATTGGTAGTTGGTAGATTATACTTCTTCCATCTCCCACTGCTGTATCTGTTCATTATTGGCCTTGCTTTTCCCGTGCATTACATCACTATTGTGTCGACGTGACCCTCACTACTAGACCACACCAGAAACTCTTGCCCCCCTCCCTCCCTCCCACTTTTTCCTCATTTCCGAGAGTGGCTGGCTTAAGAGTTCGCCACTGGTAGTTCCCACGCCTCTATTGCCCTCTTCTCTCTTTGTGTTGGGCAGATCAACATAATTCTATCTCAGCTTATGGGTATGTCCTGATTTTACTAGGCATTTAAAATGACCACAATTACTATACCGCTGTGTTTCTCTTAACTCTAACCCCCACCCCACCGAATCAAACCCCCTCTCCCGCCTTCACCCATCCAAGGGATATGACGGTTAGAGTGGGCGTGTGTCTTCCTCTTGACGCCGAGATAGATCTGTTGAGCACTTACCCAACCTGGACCAATGGCATTGAGCGCTGGACACAGCTGGACACGTTAAAGGCATTGGATGCCACGGACTTGATGACCAGTTATTTCTGGGACCGGGAGGTTGGGTGAGTGGTGCTTGGTTAGTTGGTGGTGGTGGTGATGACGACGATGATGAGGATGATGAGGAGGATGAGGAGGATGAGGAGGAGGAGAAGGAGGAGGAGGAGGGTTTTATGACAGCTGCAAGTGTGACGGGTTTTTTTTTTAGTTACAAAACATTTACTGACTAAAAATTATACGAGACTCCCCCTTCATACCCTGGGGTTGTTTTTTTTTCTACAATGATGCATAAAAACTTGAATTTAACGACTATATGCAAATACACTGGATATCATTTTGCCAGAGGCGCACAGGCTGTCTATGGAGGGCCGCTCTCTCTCTCTCTCTCTCTCTCTCTC